CCCCAAAACCCCAAAACCCCAAAACCCCAGCATGTAAAAACTCATTGAATTTTTAAAAATTATTGATCTTTATCATTCTTCAGTACATTATAGATACTCTGGCCAAGTGCTATTGTTAAAGCTCCTATGACACCACAGAGACCACCACCAACTTCAAGAGCTACAGGAATCTGATTGAGAAGGAAGACATCCAAGAGAGTCTGGATAGGGACCTGGATGATAGTGATCGCAGCTGCTGGTCCTGCAAGTCCATGAGTTGTAGCGTAATAGGCTCAGAAACCTCCGAAAATTTGGAGTACTCCTCCTATTACAGAATATAGTCAGAATTTTAAAGAGACTCCTTCTAATAGGATGATGAGTATTGCGGGAACCAGAAGGATCACTCCTGCAATTCAAGTAGTCAGAGAAATGAAATCAACTGGTCTCACATTGTATTTCTTATTGTACTGCTTGAGATATAGTGTTCTCAACGTGAAGTATGCGGATCAGAGGATTCCAATAGAGATTGGTACAATTTTTGAAGATTTTTCAACTAATTCCCCTTCAACTATGACAAAATTGTCTTTCGTTCTTTGTCCACTTAAGGAAATCAATGCTGCACATGCTATGAGTAAAGCAACTCCAATTAGATGGTAGACTTTAGTCTTCTCATTAAATATGAAATATGCCAAGATTAAAGTGAACACTGATCCAAATGAGAACATTGTTGTCAAAATCCCTTGGTTAAGGTCTGCATAAAGGCAGTATTCGAAGGCAAATACTATTGCAAAGCCTCCAAGGATCAATAAGATAACATCAGTGATCACAATAAGTACCACAGATCTTCTTAATTTCCCATTTTCATCATAAAAATAACCAAAAGAGTCACCTTGGCCATCTGCTTCATTGGTTTTCCTATCGACAATGAAATAAATAATTGAGCCAATTGCGTTGCCGATACCTAGGAAAACTCGTGCACGTACTCCGCTTGAGGAGATATCTCCAATGAAGAAGCTACTGACTGCAAAGAATATTGAAGCTAGGAGGGCGATGTAGATCCACAGGTTTGACTCAGGAGAATTATGGGATACTATTTTCTTCTGCCCAGCTTCTTTGGTTTCTTCGATATCAATTTTTTTGTATTCAGACTCGGATTTTGTCTCTTGATACATTTTTATAAAATTTTATAGTGTCTAATATTTTATTAATAAAAAGGGGTTTTGGGGTTTTGGGGTTTTGGGG